ATATATATATATATATATATATATATATATGCATTATATACATATATATTGTGTACAGTATGCAATATATATATATATATATAGCCGTTGGTTTGCTCTTCTGGTTGTTGCTGCTGCTGCTGTTGTTGCTGCTGCTGCTGCTGTTGCTGTTATTGTAGCAGCTATTGCTGTTGTTCCTGCTACTGCTGTTTTTGTTTTATTGCTGTTGTTTGTTTATTGCTTTTTAGTGTTTGTTTGTCTTGCAAACAAATACTTTAATTAAGGAGCGCTGATATGTTTTTGTTTGTTGCTGCAAGCGTTGTTTTGTTTTTATTTATTTATCTAAATATAAATCTTTTTATTATTTTTTAAATTCTTGTCTATTTATTTTTCTTCTTTTTCTTTTTCGTTGTTTTATTTATGTTGTTTGTTTATGTTTGCTCTTGTTTTGTTTCTTGCTGCACATATTATATATATAATAGATATATTATATAGAATATAGATATGAATAAGATATATAATACGTATACTATGAATATTATATATACATATAATGTATTATATATATGCACATATATTATCTATGTATACAATACAGAATGCATATTTATATGTATATTTAAGACATTGTTTAGTGTATATATTTTAATTACATATTTCTTTTTCTTTTTTTGTATTTGTTTGCTGCAGGAGTTTGAAGGTTTATTTGTTAATACTTTCGCTCGTACAGAGTTGCTGCAAGCAAAAGAAAACAGCAAAGAAAGAGCATTTAAAGAGAAAGGAAGAGTAATAATAAATAAATATGCAGATCTAACAAAGATAGACCCAACAACAGAAGTAATAGAGAAAGTAGAAAGCGTGAAAATTGTTATAAATGAACAAATAAAGAAAGCTCTTAAAAATAATGAGAATATACAGCAGCTTGCATGCAAGACAGACACCTTAGCACAAACAGCAAAACAATTTCATAAAGATGCTGCTGCAGTTGAAAGAAAAACAAATAAACAAAAGATAGCTGTTTGCTTTACTTTGTTTCTTCTTTCTACTCTTGTTATTGTATATGCTGTTTACTCCTTTATGGATTTATTCGTTCTAAATAAATAAATAAATAAATAAATAAATAAAACAATAAATCAAGCAATTAAAAAGAAGCAGCTGCTAGCAAATGCAGCTTGTGTTATTTTCTTCTGTCTCTGTTGTTTTATATTTGTTCTTCTTTAATTTTTTCGTGGGTTTTATATCGTGCATTTAGGTGTATGTACACCTGCATGCATGCGTTGCATGCAGCAGTTTTTTTGTGTCGTTTTTGTTTTATTTTCTTTCTTTATGTCTTTCTATTTAAAAGAAGAGGTATTGCTAGTAAAGACAGCAAAAGCCTCTGAAGGCACGAGGAGGCTTCATAATAATATTATTATTTACTGTTATTGTTTGCTGAACGAAAACAATTAAACTGATATTTATAAACAGAAGGACGAGAGTTTTATTTATAGAAAAACGAAGAAAAGTATTTACTACGCATTAGAGGCAGCAGCAGCACAGGGTGCAAGTTTAGGAGCAGCTCTTCTTTATTTATTTAATATAAATATTAAAGGTATATTTGTTTTAATATAAAAAATTAATATATTTAAATATATTTATTTCGTTAGAATGTAAATTTTATATTATCTTCGTGAGAAAATATGAAGCAGGGGGCCTGCCTCTGAGGGCGTAGGCTTGCAGTAGTGTTTGTTATAGAAGAGGGACAGAATAAATAAATATGCAGCTAAATATAAACATAAATAAATTAAAATATTAATAAATTAAAATATTTATAGATATAAATAGTCAAAAATATATACTTATTCGGCAACAGCCATATTGAGGGCCCCCGCATGCAGCAACAGCAGCAGTGGCTGCTGCTGCTGCTGCTGCTGCTGCAGTTGTTTAAAACGACATTATGTGTTAATCTACCACATTATTTCTGCAGATAAAATATCTGCAGTGCTTGAGGGAAAAGGAGCCCCAAGGGCTCTGCTGCTGCTGCTGCTGCTGCTGCTGCTGCCGTGCCTAAGGCTCTAAGCAACGCAGCCAACAGTACAAGCAGCAACAGCAGCAGCTGCTGCTGCAGTATTAGTATCAGCAGCAGCAGCTGCTGCTGCTGCTGCGTATTGATCTATGCCCCCAGGGCTCCTCACCTTTGCCTAAGGCCCTCACAGGCCTCCCGCCTTAGCGCAGCTACTACAGCACCAGCAGCAGTAGCAGCACAGCAGCAGCAGCAAGAGCAGGAGCAGCAGCAGCAGCAGCAGTGCTTGCTTCTGCAGCAGCATGACCAGGCCGCTGGGCTATGTCTAAGGATGACTGCCTCTGCTGTAGGGGGCCCCCCAGGGGCCCCCTCCCCGCTAGGCACCCCCAGCCTACTTCCGGAAGATAAACAGCAGCAGCAGCAACAGCTGCTGCTGCTGCTGCAGCAGCAACAGCAACAGAGAGCAGCACAGAAGAGGTGTCCCGCAGGGAAAGTCGGCTGCGAATGTGCTGCTGTTGATGCAGCAATCGATGTGCTAACTGCAGCAAAAGTTGCTGCTGCTGTTGACGCGGAAGCAGGCGCAGCAGCAGCAGCAACAGCAGCAACAGCAGCAGATGTTGCAGCAGCCCGTCGATTGCTAGATCGTTTCGTATGGAGACGAGACTCCTGGGGCCGCTGCATTGCTGCTGTTGCTGCTGGTGCTGCGCTCCAGCGCTCTCAACTGCAGCAGCAGCAGAAGCTGCCTCTCCTGTTTGCCTGCAGCAGCCGCAGCAGCAGCAGCTCCTGCGCAGTAACAGCTGAGGCGAGCAGTTGGTGCGGGGCAGCGTCGGACGAGGCCAGGGCCTCAGCAGCAACAGCAACAGCAGCAGCAACAGCTGCAGCAGATAGTGCAGCAACAGCAGCAACAGCAGCACCCACCCAGGAGTTGCTGCTGGGGCGATGTATGTTTGCTGCAAGAACTTTGCTGCTGCAGGCACGGAAGGGCCTCCCGAGTCTGCAGCTGCCTGCGATTGCAAGCGATCCTGCTGCTGCTGCTGCTGCTGAAGGAGACAGTGCAGCAGCAGAAGCAGCAGCAGCAACCCTAGAGCCCCCGTCTCACAACAACTTAGAGTGCCCCTGTATAGACACCACACAGCAGCAGCTGCAGCAGCAGCTACTAGCAGCAGAGCCATTAGGGCCGCCGCTGCTGCTGCACCGCAGCTTGGCCACGCTAATTGAGGCTTGCTGGGCTTGCTGCAGCAGCAGCAACAGCAGCAGCAGCAGCGGCAGCACCTGCATACCGCCTGTTGCAGTTCTGGAGGATCTGTGTGCTGCTGCTGCAGCGCTGCTGCTGCTGCAGCTGCCCTCTCCCTCAACTGTACAGAGGGGGAGGCAGCAAAGCGTTATACGGAGATGCATGCGCTTAGTTACCTTGGGGCTGCAGCAGCGGCAGCAGCAGCAGCAGCAGCAAGGCGGAGAGGTCTTGCTGCTGCACGCGCACTTGCTGCAGCTGCTGCTGCTGCAGCAGCTCGTCGCAGCAGCATTCTGCCCAAACATTTGCTGCTCCCCTCTGCAGCGTCAGCGCCTTCTTGCTGCAGTGTTTGCAGAGGCTTCGCTCGTGCTGCAGCTGCTGAAGGATGGCCTTGCTGCAGTCACTGCTGCTGCTGCTGCTGCTGCTGCTGCTGCTGACACAGAAGCTCCGGGGGCTGCAGACAGCAGCAGCGAAACAGCCTCGTTGGCAGCAGAGCAGCAGCAGCAGCAGCAGCAATTATGTGAAGTGGTCCACCGTGTTTGGATTCGCTGCTGCTGCACCTGCTTGAGCGTAGGGAGCCGCTGCGCAGCAGCTGCAGCAACAGCAGCAGCAGCAGCAGCAGCGGGTGCAGACTCAGCTGCAGCAGATGCTGCTGCTGCATCGCCATCTAAAGATTGCGCACAGGCGAAACCAGAAGAGGTGCTCACCTCAGCAAGATACAGTAGGTTTTTGATTTGCTGCTGTTGCTGCTGCTGCTGCTGCTGCTGCTCTTGCTTCACTATTGCGGCTGCTGCAGCTTCAGCTGCTGCTGTGGCTTCTGCTGCTGCTGGGTATTACCTTGTGCTGCATGCTTGACGGGCTGCAGGACAGATGGGCCAGTGCTGCTGTTGCTGCTGCTGCTGCTGCTGCTGTTGCTGCAGATGAGGCTCTTATCGCCTTCTCCTCTGCTGTCGCTTCTGACGAGTTCGTGGACTTATTCAAACTCTTGCTGCTGCCCCTGCAGGTGAGCAGCACGAGCTGCAGCAGCAGCAGCAGAAACAGCAGCAACCGCAGCAGCGGAAACAGCAGCAGCAACAGCAGCAGCAGCAGCATGAGTAGCAGCAGAAAGAGCAGCATTGCGCTTCCTGCTTGTACCGGCAGGCTGCTTGATAGAGCTGTGTCTTGTATTCTTTTTGCTGCTGCGCTGTTGCTGTTGCTGTTGTAGGTGCGGGGGGGAGCAGCAGCGAGACGGCAGGCTGCTGCTGCTGCGCCTTTTGAGCAGCAGGACGAGGAAGAGGAGCAGCAGCAGCAGCAGCAACCTCTGCACGACAGCAGCAGCGCTGCTGCTAGATTTGCTGCTCTAACAGTAAGGGAGTTGCTGCGGCTGTGGGTGACGGGGCAAGCAGCAGCGCGTCATTTTGCTGCTTCTGCTGCAGCAGCAGGAACTGCTGCTGCTGCTTCCCGTGCTGCAGCAGCTCCGTTCTTGCTGCTGCCTGCCGCTGTTGCAGGAAGGCTTCGCTTTGTGCTGCAGTGTATGGCTGAGGCATATGCGCAGCACTTCGCTGCAGCTGCAGCTGCAGCAGCAGCAGCAGCAACGGAAGCAGCTCATCAAGGTCGGCAGCAGCAGCAATCGCGAGCTCTCAATCTTATACAGTGGCAGCGGCGGGTGGGCCCTGTGCTGCTGCTGCCGCTGCTGCTGCAGCACGCGGTGGTGCCGCTGCTGCAGCAGCAAGATAAAGACCTGCTCATACACCGCAGCACCTCCTGGAAGCCCTACGCCTATTTGCTGCTGGAGGCAGTTTCTCCCAAGCAGCAGCAGGAGCAGCAGCAGCAGCAACAGCAGCAGCAGCAGCAAGTGCTGCAGCAGGAACGAACCCAAAAGCGTTCCCAGCAACAGCAGCAACAGCAGCAGCAGCAACAGCAACAGCAGCAACAGCAACAGCAGCAGCAACAGCAGCAGCAGCAGCAGCAGTCTGTTGTGCCTCGTTTCTTCAGCGCATGCATCCTTCTTAGCTGCGCTTATATAACTGGCCGCAATCGCTTTGTTCGTGTTGCTGCTTTGAAGGGGCTGCTGCAGCTGCTGCAGCCTTTGCTGCAGCTGCTTGCTGCTGTGCAGAGGGAGTGTGGGGTGCTGCAGCACATGACGCAGCAGCAGCAGCGAGATTCCCCAGGAGGAGCAGCAGCAGCAGCAACAGCAGCACCAGCAGCAACAGCAAACGTGCAGCTGCAACGTGCAGTTTCTGTTGCAGGTGAAGGTCTTGCCTCGCTGCTGCAGCCTCGCGTCGAGGTGCTCCTGCAGTCTCTTGCTGCTGCTGCCTCCCTGGGTCGCCCGCAGTGTCTCTGCAGCAACAGCAGCGGGAGCAGCAGCAGCAGCAGCAGCGGCAGCAGCAGCAGCGGCAGCAGCAGCAGCGGCGGCAACGTGGATGTTTTTGTGTCTATAAGGCCTTTAGGCGACACTTTGCTGCTGCAGCTTGCTGCTGCTGTTGGAGTGCGTCCGCTGCTGCAGCTGCTGCTTCCGCAGCTGCAGCAGCTGCTGCACTCGCAAGGGGAATCGTTGCTGCAGCTGATGGATCCTGCTACTGCAGCAACAGCAGCAGAAGCAGCACGGCTGTTGGAGGCAGAAGGGGCCTTGTGGCTGCTGCTGCAGCTGTCGGGTAGCCCGCATGCAAAGCAATATACTCCGCCGTTGCTGCAAGAAGCAGCAGAGCAGCTGCTGCTGCTGCGGCAGCAGAAGCAGCGGCAGCAGCAGCAGCAGCAGCGGCGGCAGCAGCAGCAGCAGCAGGTGCCTTGCACCGCCTGCGGAGCTTCAGCAAGCGTTGCTGCTGCTTGGGCTGCCCGAGCGTCGTTTGCTGCTGCGCTTGTGGTGTCCCCTGCGCCTGCAGGGCCAGCAGCAGCAGCAGCAGCAGCAACACCAGCAGCAGCAGCGGCAACAGCGGCAGCCGAACACTTGTTTCGTCGGCTTGATCTTGTTGCAAGGTGGACAGCTGAGCTTGGAGAGGCCCTAGGTCTCAGCAGCTGCAGCAGCTGCTGCTGCAGCAACAGCAGCAGCGAAGAGAACCAACAGCAGCTGCAGCAGCAGCAGCAGCAGCAGTTGGGGATGGCGCTGTTTCGTCGTATGTCTGTCGCTGTGCTGCAGCTGCTGCTGTCTGCTGACGTGTATCTGCAGCGTCAAGTTGCTGCACTTGAGGCCGCGCGTGGCGATGCAGCCGCAGCAGCAACAGCAGCAGCAGCACTCCAAGCGCATGCGCCGCTGCTGCTGCTGCAGCTGCGAGGCCTCCCTCAGCTGTCTCCTGCTGCTGCTTGTCTTCCTACCGGCTGCTGCTCGCTCCCTTTGCTGCGGGCCTTTCTCTCAATTGTCTGTCACTTATTCAGGCTGCTGCAGCTGCTGCAGCAGCACCTGCAGCAGCCAGAAGCTGCTGCTGCAGCAGCAGCAGCAGCAGGTGGGGCGCCAAACCCCCTTCAAGTTGCTGCAGCAACAGAAGAACATCTCTACTCCTGCAGCAAATGGCTGCTGCAGCAAAACTTCCGTGGTCGCCTCATTGGAGGCAGCAAACCTGCTGCTGCTGCAGCAGCTTCAGCAGCAGCAGTTGCTGCTGCTTCTGCTGCTCCTGAGGTGTCTCGGCACCTCGCCCCACAGCATAAGGCGGTGGCCTTGCGCCAATTCCTCACGATCGCTGCTTTTTCGTGTTGCTTACCGCTCCAGCTGCAGCAGCAGCTGCAGCAGCAGCAGCAGCAGCAGCATGTGCAAGCTGGAGAGCAACAGCAACTGCAACAACAGCAGCAGCAACAGAAGCAGCAGCAGCAATTGCGGCCTCTGGATGCTCTGTCAGTTCGTGGGTTAGCTGCAGCACTGCAGAAGGAGACACCGACGCTGCAGCAGTTGTTGCTGCGTCTCGCTGAGCCTAGCAGCAGCAACAGCAGCAGCAGCCGCAGCAGCAGCAGCAGTGAAGTGTCTGCGTTAGTACTGGGTCTGCTGGAGGAGTGCAGCGCTGCTGTTTGTGCTGCAGCACCTTTAAACCCTCAAAGTATGCAGGCCTCACGGGATTTGCTGCTGCAGCTGCTGCTGCTGCTGTCTCCTCTGTGCAGCTGCCACCAACAGAAGCAGCGCAGCAAACAAGGAAGCAGCTCCCCTGCATCCAGTCGCAGCAGCAGCAGCAGCAGCATGGTAGAAGTCTGCAGCAGCAGCAGCAGCTGCAGCAGAGAGAGCAGAAGCTGCGGCTTGCTGCAGCTAAGTGTACATACCTGGCTGGCGCGTGTGCTGCTGCCGTTGCTGCGGTGTATCTCCACATCGCAGCAACACGCTGAGGAGGCGCTGTCGGCGCTGCTGCAGCTGCTGCTGCTGCTGCTGCAGCACGTGCTGGCGGGCGCTTCTCAAGTGCTGCCTGAGCAGACAGCTAGCGACCACCGCCGCAGCATTAAGAGGCCTCATGCTGCTGCTGCTGCTGCTGCTGCACCTGTGCTGACAAAGGGAGGCAGCAGCAGCCAGCGCGACAGCAGCAGTAGCAACTCGGCAGCCGCAGCAGCAGCAGCAGCAGCAATCGCAGCTACATATATAGGAGGAGAGGCAGACGTTGCTGCTGCAGTGGATCTGTTCTTGGCTGAGCAGCAGCTGCTGCTGCGTTCCATCTTTGAGTGTCTCTCCACCTGCTTTTCGCTGCCGCTGCCTAGTTTGGTGCTGCTGCAGCAGCAGCAGAGCCAGCTGCTGCTGCAGCAGCTGCTGCTGCTCACGCTACAGCACATTCTCCCTGCAACTGTTGCTATGCTCAAGAGGGAAGGGGGCGCAGCAGGTGCAGCTGCTGCACCTCCTTCGGCTGCAGCAGCAGCTGCAGCACCAGCAGCAGCTGCAGCACCAGCAGGAGGCGCTGCAGCAGAAGCACCGGCAGAAGCAGATGCAGCAGCAAATGCAGCAGCAGAGCACTGGCCGCACGCGCTGCTGCTGTCTGCCCTTCGTTTCCTTCTGAGTCTCGCAAAGGTGAGTCGCGGTGATTTGCTGCTAACAGATACCAGCAGCAGCAGCCAGCACTCTCTTGCTGCTGCATTCAGAATCCGGCGCCTGCTGCCGCAGCAGCAGCAGCAGCAACAGAAGCGTTTGCATTACCAGGGTCTCCGCAGCGCCAGCGCCGCTACAGCAGCAGCAGCAGCAGCAACACCAGCAGCAGCAGCAGCAGAGCCGAACATCGAGATAGAAGAGCTCCCCCCAATAGAGCAAGAAGCCCTGAAGGAGAAGACGCAGCAGGTGCTGCGCTCCTGTGCTGCTGAAGCTACGCGTTTGCTGCTGCAGCCCTGCGATTACTCGTTGCTGCTGCTGCTGCAGGTACACGCGGCGAGGCAGCTGGGCATCCGTGCTGCTGCTGCTGCTGTTGCAGCGGACGACTACAGCAGCAGCAGCACTGCAGCACCTGCTGCTGCTGCTTCTGCTGCTGTTGCCCAGCAGCCGGGAGTGAAGGAGGAGACAGCAGAAGCAGCAGCAGCAGCAGCAGCAGCACAACAAAAGGCGTCCCCGCAGCAGCTGCAGCACCAGCTGCAGCAGCTGCAGCAGCAACAACAGCAGCAGCTTCTCTCTAAAGCTCAGAGGAAGGCAACCTGTGCCGAGTTGCTGCTGCACTGGGCAGCAGCTCTGCTGTGGGGTGGTGCTGCTTGCTGCTGCAGCAGCCAGCTATCATCCTGCTGGGGACACACGCTGGCGGTGCGTGTTGCGCAACAGCAGCAGCAACAACAGCAGCAGCAGCAGCAGCAGCAGGAACAGGACGATGAGCAGCAGCGGGGCAGCACACGGGATGCTTTGCGTGCAGACAGCAGCGCCGATGGGCGCCATTCGGACGCTCAAGCTGCAGCAGCAGCAGCAGCAGCAGGTGTTGCTGCTGCTGTTGCGACGCAGCACAAAGCAGAGAAGCTTTGCTGGCAGCTGCTTGGCACACTGCTGCTTCCTGCTGCAGCAACATCGAGGGAGGCGGGACCTGCTGTGCTTGGCGCAGAGGACAGCTTGCTGCAGCTGACTGGTGTTGATACACCCGGACCCAGCAGCAGCAGCAACAGCAGCAGCAGCAGCAGCAGCAGCAGCGGTCTTCCTACTTGCAGCATGCTGCCTATTACTGCTGTCCCTTCTTTAGGGGTTTACACCTCTTGGCGTATTATCGCTGCCTTTCATTTGATGCTGGGTCTTTCTCTGTCTCCGGGAGCAACAGCAATTGCTGCTGCTTGCGGCTGCAGTAGCAGCAACAGCAGCAGCAGCAGCAGCAGCAGCAGCGGTCCAACTCCCGCTGCTGCTGCTTCCCGTGCAGCTCGCTCACCGGAAGCAGCGCTTGTTAAACGCGACAACAACAGCAGCAGCAGCAGCAACAGCAGCAGTAGAGGCAGCTGCTGCTGCTGCATGCAGCCGCTATGCAATTGCTGCAGCTCCATCTCGTGCTGCTGCCCCTGGGTGTGGGTATTTCGCGAATCAGCACAGCAGCAGCAGCAGCAGATAAGGAACTGGTGCTGCTGCTGTGCCGCTGTGCTATGGTATGCGCAGCTGCTAGTGAGGACAGCTGCTGCTTATCCTGCTGCTATTGGCTGTCTCTCCAGCAGCAGCAGCACTCGGGGTGTACATACACCTCTCGGTCCTTATTGGGTGAGCAGCAGCAGCAGCAGCAGCAACTGCAGCAGCTGCGCTGCGGCGCAGCAAGAAGGAGCTCCGCCTGCTGCTTTGCATGCGCCTCCTCTGCTGCTGCTGCACCCCTTTCAAGAGCTGCTGTGTGCTTCTGCTCTCGAGCAGCTGCCGGCTGTCCAGCAACAGCGGCAGCAGCAGCAGCAGCAGCAGCAGGGTTCTTCTCAGCAGCAACAGCAGCAGCAGCAAATGTCGCTGCAGCAGTCGCGTCAGCAGCAACTGCTGCTTCTCCAGGGGCTTCCTACAGCTGCGCTCCCTCCAGCTGTGCTCGCAGCAGAAGAAGCAGCGCAGCAGCTGCTGTTTGTCTGCACGGAGCAGCAGCGGCTGCTGCAGCAGCAGGGGCCCGTGCTGCTGGCGTTGCTGCAGACACGCAGGCCTGCTTCCAATTTGCTGCGGCTGGCTGCTGCTCTGCAGCAGCGAGAGTGGTTGGAGCAGCAGGCTGTTGAGAGGGACACAGCAGCAGCAGCAGCAGCGGCAGCAGCAGCAGGCATCCCCCCGCAGCAGCGCGTGCTGCTGCAGCTAGCAGCAGCGCAGCAAAAAGGAGATGTGCTGCACCTCATCGAGCTGCTGTCTCCTCCAACGCCTGTTGCTGCTGCTGTACCTTCTCCTTCTGGGGTTCGAGCGCCGCCTCGTTTGGTTGGCGCTGCAGCAGCAGCAGCAGAAGCAGCAGCAGCAGCAGCAGCAGCGGCTGCTGCTGCTGCTGCTTCAGGAGCAGCCGAAGCAGCACCAGAGCCAACGGGAAAGGTTAAGACCGGCAGCAGTTCCCTCTTTGGGGCAAATAGAAACAGAGCAAAGGCTGCAAGGCGCAGCGTTCGCCCGGGGGCCAGCTAGCTAGCTAGCTAGCTAACTAGCTAGCTGGCTGACTGCAGCTAGCCAGACGCTTCCAGCTAGCTGCGGCGGAAGAGCAGTTGCTACCCAGAGTCAGCTAGCTAGCTGGAGCTGCTTCTTGCGCTGGGCGGCGTCGTAGCTAGCTAGCTAGCTAGCTAGCTAGCTATCTAGTATAGCTAGCTAGCTAGCTATCGATCTAGTATAGCTAGCTCGATTCCGAGTCTAAGCATCCATATTTCCTACTTCTACTTTTCATTTTTAATTAGCTAGCTAGCTAGCTAGCTAGCGAGGGGAACTTTTGAATGATATGTTTGGTGAAGGTTAAGGGGAGCTGCCTGTACACCGCAGCAGCGAGAAGCAGCAGCGAGAGAATAAATAATTTTTATTTATTAGAAGAGGCACCACTAACAAGCAGCCAAACAATAATGCTTGGTGGAGCACTAGAGGGATAATCAAACTGCAGCAACTCGAATAAACCCCCGTATAATAAAATATAAATGTAGCTGTATATACACCGTACAATAGATTCAGGTGTATGTACACCGTACAATATGTTCAGGTGTATGCATTGCTTAGGTGCATTGTTCAGGTGTATAGGCACCCTACAACATGTTGGGGTGTATATACACCGTACGGTGTTGAGGTGTATGCGCAGGTTTATAGAGTTCAGGTGTATGTACACCGTACAGTGTTCAGGTGTACGAATACGTGTAAGTGTACAGCGGGGTGTATGTACAGCTTTAGGATATTCAGGTGTATATACAGCTGTACGGTGTTCAGGTGTATATGTTCAGCTATAGGATATTCAGGTGTATGTAGAGGTGTACAGTGTTTAGGTGTACGTACAGCGTAGATATCTGTTTCTGCTTGCAACTGCAGCTCGGATTAAACAAAAAGAAAGCAAAAATGATTAGCAGGGGTATAATAAATAATTATTAATGTACGGTGTTCAGGTGTATGTACACCCCAGCGGGTATTGTACAGCGTTCAGGTGTATGCACAACTGTAAGGAGTTTACAGCCACGGAGAACCCTAACATATGGTGAGCTGCTGCTGTTTTTGCTGCTGCTGCTGCTGCTGCTGCTGTAGCTGATGTAGCTGCTGTAGCTGCGTTAGTAGGGGCTACAACTGCTACTGTGCTCAGCAGCAACGCACTGAGGCGCCTGTGTGGTGCCTGTGCTGCAGCAGCAGCTGCGGCAGCAACAGCAGCAGATGCAGCAACTCAAGCTGTACGGTCGTCTTCACTAACAGCAACAGCAACAGCAACAGCAGCAGCAGCAAATTTGTGTAGAGAGCACTTTCATCCAGTCGGTTTGTAAAACCCCTCTGCACAATTCACTCAGCAGCAGCACGAGACCCCCTGCTGCTTCCAGCTGTACGCCGGATGCTGCAGCGAGGTGTCTGTACAGCCCAATGCGCGAATACGGCAGGGGCTGTTCTACAGCGTTTGCTGCTGCTGCTGCTGCTTCTGCTGCTGCTGCTGCTGCTGCAGTGGCACCAGATGCTGCTGCTACTGCAGCAGCAGTCAAAGCAGCAGTCACAGCAGCTACTCACAAGCTGCTGGCGTCGATGTTGGCCTCGCCAACAACGTTCAAGGGCGGGACAAATTGCTGCTGCTGCTGCGGCTGCTGCTGCTGCTGCGGTTGCTGCTGCTGTCGCTACTGCTGCTCTACCGCCAGCAGCAGCAACAGCACGAAGGCACCTCAGTCTGTAGTGTCTGCACTTCTCGCCACTGTTAAGAGCAGCAGGAGAACTTTCAACAGCAGCAAAGCAGCAGCTGCTGCTGTTGCTGCTGCGGCTAGTGCTGCAGCTGGAGTTACTGCTGCTGCTGTTGCTCCCCTGCTGCGGCTCCAGTGCTGCCTGAAGCTGTAAACTGTCCCGTGTATTCAAATGAGTAGTAATGAGTGTTACAGCAGCAGCTGGTGCTGCTGCTGCCGCAGCTGGTGCTGCTGCAGCTGGTGCTGCTGCTGCTGCTGCAGCTGCTGCTGCTGCAGCTGCTGCTGCAGCAGCTGGTGCTGCTGCTACAGCTGGTGCTGCTGCAGCAGCTGCTGCTGCTGCAGCAGCTGCTGCAAAAGCGACATCTCAAATCTTGCCAAAGCCAACGAAGAGGACTTGCAGCAGCTTTTGTGTGCTGCTGCAGCAGCACCTACGGTTGCTGCTGCGGTTGCTGTTGCTGCTGCTGCTGCTGCTTTGTATCGCGCAGCAGCAAGAAGGGGACAAATACTCCAAAACAATAAAAGATATTCTTCCTGCTGCTGCTGCTGCTGCGGCCAAGGGGTCTGTTATTGCTGTTGCTCTTGCTGCTGCTGCTGTTGCTGATGGTGCTAACCCACAAGCAGCAGCAGCAGCAGCAGCAGCGGCAGCAGCAGCAGTACGGAGGCTAAGCTACGCCGGAATGCGGTGTTTCTTGTTTCTGCTGTTTAAGAGAGCGGCGGAGTCTGAAGATAAACTGCACAAGTCCTGGTGCAAATCTTCTTCTTCCTGGGTTTGCTGCTGCTGCTGTTGCTGCTGCTGCTGCTGCTGCCGCTGCTGCTGCTGCTGCTGCTGACGGCCCTGGTGCTCCTGCAGGAACTGCTGCTGCACTTCGCGCAGCTGCTGCACCGCCTCACGAAGACGTGCAGCATCTTCATCTTGAGGCTGTTGTTGTTGTTGCTGTTGCTGCTGCTGCTGTACTCCAGAAGCAGCGCCTGCTGCTGCTGCAGCTGCTGCAGCTGCTGCTGCAGCACTGTCTGGCTGCCCTGAAGGGGAGACAGCGCCCAGAGACTGCAGCAGCTCTTGCAAGCAAGGAAGCAAAGAAGGTGATGCACCATCTTGCTGCTGCTGCTGCAGCTGCTGCTGCCGCGAGTCATCTGCGCGCGAGCCGCTGGCATCTTCATTCCCCTGCAGCTGCTGCAGCAGCTGCTGCAGCCGCTGCTGCACTTGCTGCTGCAGCTCCAAAGGAGAACAGAGGCTTGAGGGATCAGCAGCAGCTAATGCCTGCTGCTGCAGAGACACCTCACGAGTGCGGCAGACTTCCTGCTGCTGCCCAGCAGCTGCAGTTCCTCGTCGTTTGTTGTTGTTGCTGCTGCTGCCGTTGTTGCTGCTGCTGTTGCTGCTGCTGTTCTTGCTCTGGGCCCCAAGAGAAGCCAGCAAGGATGCTACGGCTGTGAAGGGTGATTCACTGCTCGTTTGCTGCAGCAGGGGGCTGTCTGCTGCTGCTGCAGTTTGCTGCCTGCCTAAAGCAGCAGCAGCAGCAGCAGCAGCAGCAGGCCCTTCGCCTCCAACGCTGCTGCAGCAGCGCTTCCTCATACCGCTAGGAGATGTATAACCAGTGCGCGACCCCCCTCTGCCTCTGCTGGGTCCATCTAGCAGCAACTGCTGCTGCTGCTGCTGCTGAGGGTCTTGCTCCTCCTGCTGTCTCTCTAGCTTGCACACCGAAGAGGCCCCACACGGCTCTCCCCCGGGCGTGTTGCTGCAGCAGCAGCCGCTGCTGCTGCTGCAGCAGCCACTGCTGCTGCTGTTGCCGCCCGGCGTGCTGCTGCTGCTTGGCGTGGGGACAGTGCTGCTGCTCCCGTCTGCTATACACCCTGCAGCAGCAAGAAGGAAGGTGGTTGCGAACTGCTGCTGATGCAGCTGCTGCAGCTGCTGCAGCTGCTGCAGCCGCTGCAGCTGCTCCAGCTGCAGTGCGTACCCTGCTGTTTCTGCTTGAGCTATAAGGCTGTCTCCCGGTCGCTGGCGCTGCTGTTGCTGCTGCTGCTGCGCCGTTGCTGCTGCTGTTGCTGAGGAGTGCATTTGCAGGAGCAGCAGCTGCTGCATGACTTGCTGCTGCGCCAGCATCACAGCAGCAGCAGCAGCAGCAGAATGAAAGAGAGACATTCCTTTCTTTAGATTCTCCTCAGGGCGCAGCAAATCATCATCAACAGCAGCAGCAGATAGCAGCGGCGGCAGCGGTGCTGCTGTTGCTGCTGCTGTTGCTGCGAGGAGGCCCGTGGGTGTTGTTGCTGCGACTCCATTCGCTTGGCTGCCTGGTGCTGCACCGCATCCTTTGGTGCTGCTGTTGCTGCCCGCTGCAGCAGCAGTTGCTGCTGCTGCTGCTGCTGCTTCTTGCTGCTGCCGCTGAGTCCTCAGCAAATCTAATTCCATATCCTTCCTGGCTTGCAGCGCCTTTTCTCTCGCTCTCTCAAACCCGTACAACTTCGACGAGAAGTACTTCTTTAATATCTTCCCGCCTGCAGCAGCAGCAACAGAAGCAGCAGCAGCAGCAGCAGCAGCAGCAATGTCAGCAGCAGCAGCACCACACGGATGACGAACAGTCGTAGGAGAACCAACAGCAGCAACAGCAAAAGGAGCAGCAACAGCAGCTCATGCACACAAAGAGAAACTGCAGCACCAACTGCGTGCAGAGAAATAACTTAATCAGTCAAACAAGAGCAGCAGCAGCAGCAACAACAACAACAGCAGCAGCAACAACAAAGGCTCACCGACATGCAGACGCGCAACCCATGAGTTATCATAGCGGCTGAAGTGTACCCCCAGCTGCCTCAGTTGGTTGTCTGAGGGTTGCTGCTGCTGCTGTTGCTGCTGCTGCTGCTGCTGTCTGTCTCCTCTCAACGGCAGCCACTCATCCGGCCTAGAGTTGCTGCGATCTCTAGGGGTGCTACGCAGCAGCAGCTCTTCTTGCTGCTGCTTCATGCAAGACAAACTTCCAACCCCATTGCTGCTTCCATTGAGGTTGCTGCTGCAGGCTGCTGCTGCTGCTGCAGCAGGGTCGGCTCCGGTGACTGCAGCAGCAGCAGCAGCAGCAGCATCAAGAGCGTGAGGATCCAGTGAAGAGGAACGACGGCTCCTGACTTGCTGCTGCGTCGATCGCTTCTGCTGTTTGCTGCTGCTGATACCGCCTCCCATGCTGCTGCAGAGCTGCTGCTGCTGTTGCTGCTGCTGCTGCTGCTGCTCCCCATCACGGCGTGCCAACTGTCTCTTCGGTCTTGTTGAAGCCCTTGTGCTGCGAGAGAGCGAAGCCGAGCTGCCTTCAGAAGCAGCAGAAGGAGAGGGTCGGCATGATGCTGCTGCTGCTGCTGCAGCAGCTGGAGATGCAAGCCCCGCTTGGAGAGCCAAAGGCCGCCGCGAAGCCAGTCTGCTGCTGCTGCTGCTGTGCTGCTGCTGCTGCAACAGAAAATCGTCTTCATCGATCTCTGCTGCTGCTGCTGCTGCTACGTCGGAAGCGGAAGGGCTGCTTACTGGTTGGCTCGTGCTGCTGCAGCTTTTGCTGCTGTCTGCTGCTGCGCTGCTGCCGTCACAGCTGCGCATACTGCAGAGAGCAGCAGCAAACGGTGCTGCTGCTGCTCTTGCTGCCGTGCCTCTCGTTTGCTGTAGCCTCTTTGCTGCTTCAGAGGGGCCCCCCACAGCAGCCCCATCAGCCTCCCACTCCCCTAAAGAGCTTCCTTGCTGCTGCTCTGCTGCGGACGTAGCAGGAAGCTCCTGCAGCAGCAGCTGCTGCAGCTGCTGCGCCGCACATGGAGTCGGATCTGCTGCTGCAGCCATCGTGTAGAAAGCGCGTTTGCTGCTGTGGCGCTGCTATGTTGCTGCTGCTGCGGCTGTGCTGCTGCTGCTGCTGCAGCTGCTGCTGCAGCTGCTGCAACAGGCGGGCGGGTGCACGGCGTGCCGCAGCAGCAGGAGCAGCAGCAGCAGCAAAGGGCAGCAAATAACAAACGACGCAGCAGGATGTGAGAGATTGCTGCTGCAGCAGTGATGTAGAAGAAGACCAGCGGACTGCTGCAGCTGCTGCCCCGGCCTGCTGTGCTGCGGGGAGATGGGATCGCGTGCTGCTGCAGCAGGGCGCAGCAGCAGCAGCAGCAGCCTAGCAGCAAACCTGCTGCCTTGTTTGAAAAGCAAACATAAGAGTCTATAATGGAGAGAAACGCCAGAACTGCAGCAGCAAAATGCCAGCACCTGCTGCTGCTGCTGCTGCTGCTGCTGCTGCACTTCGATGTTGCGGTGCGGCTGCAGCAGAACGCGGTAGGAGCGCCACCAACAATCACAGCAGGCAGCAGCAGCAGCAGCAGCAGCAGCAAAACAGAAGACGAAACGCCCTTTGTATAAATAAAAAGAAACCCTTATTCTTTGTG